CCGTCTTGAGGTTGAAGGTGTGGACTCTTTCAAGAATAGCTTTGATAGCTTGATTGATAGCCTGCAGGAGAAGGCAAACTCCATCAAGATGGTTTCTCTGTAACAATACTAAAACATATAGTAAATCCCATCAAGCCTTAAGCTTAGTTTTTCAATTTACAAATAAGTAGCTAAATATTCTGGCTGGATTTCAAGAGTGAGTTTTTCAATGTATTATTATTACATAATAACATGATGGGAGTTTTGTGCTCGATGTGTAGCAAAGCAAATACAAGAAATGAGTCATTCGGGTTGTTTTGGCATACAACTGATCAATTAGCAGTTTATATTTGCCGATTTAACTAGTTCTTAACTTTTTCTTTTAAAGAAAGTAAACAAAAAAGGTTAATGATATGCTCCTCCCATTTGTATTATAGCATATACTGAGTTGTTAATTTAAAACACTAATTTCTCGAACACATTAAAGAACATTTTGAGCCGGTTCGTGAAAATGCTAAATGAATGAGCATGTTGAAAGATTAATCAAGCTTGTTTGTTTCTCCGAGGCTATCTTCCTTGACAATTAAAGCATGTTTTTTTTAGGATTTAAACTCTTAACTTCCAGTTTCTTTCAGTTTCTTCCAGTTCCTTTCAATTTCTTCTAGTTTCTTCCAATTCCTTCTAGTTTCTTCCAAGTATTCTCATTTTCTTCAAACTTTTTCTACCCCCCAACCAATTATTCTAAAAATAATATATTTTTAATGTGATTATTATTATTATTATTACAACTGTTATGTTCATAACTATAATTTATAAATTATTTTTTTCATCTCAGTATTTTTACGATTCACACTCATTATTTTTTCTTCAACTTTTTAATATGAATAAGAAAACTTTTTTTATATTAATCTACATGATAAAACAAGAAAGCATCAATATTTTAAACTATATTAAAAAATTATGGATAAAATAGTTACATAAAATGTTTTATTAATACTCCATATAACTTTATATAAGACCTATCACCTTTCCCTTTATTACTCAAAATTTTCTCATTTTTCTAATTTTTATAAAAAAAACTAAAAGTCAAAATAATTTAGAGAAAAAAGACTAAAACAGGAGTAAAATATTAAAAATGTAAAAAAAGTGTTATGTCGTTATTCCAAAAATAGGACTTCCAATGAAAATAAAATGTCAATCATGAAAGAAAAAAAAGATTGATGACATCATGTGACATGTCAAATTTTTTTTAAAGACATGCTCATTTTATTAAATAATCAAAAGATACAAATGTTTGACAAGTGGGAACACGCTCCACACTTGTATAAAGAAAGAATCAACAAAAGTCGAACTATGATGTGAAAAGCTTATCTAATATAATAGAACATACACTTAAGTACAATTAATAAATCCAGCCCACAACATTTTACTAAAAACCATTATCTCGAAACCAATCACTCCGAAAGCCTTTCTCTAAAGAATGGCCTAAGGTCATATATTTCATACCACAAAAACTATAATTACAAATATATTATTTATAATAAATATTGCATATATAAACTGAGGTGCAACGTAACCACACAAACTGTTAAAAATTTAATATTTTTATATTTATGCTAACTTTATATTATAATTATTTTTTTGCAAATGTAGTTTTTTGTATTTGAAAAATAACAATACTTTTTTTCTTAAATGCATTCATTAAGATAACATGATGATGATGACGATAATAATAATAATAATAATAATAATAATTTATAACAACAAGAATTAGAATCAGAACAATATAAAAACACACTAAAATAAAATTTTGAAAGTTTTTTTTAGTTTTCCAATTTTTTGAAGTTCTTTAAGTTCCTTCCAGTTTTTTTCAGTTTCTTCTAATTCCTTCCAGCTTCTTTTAGTCCTTCCAATTCTTTAGTTCCTTCCAGTTTTTTCCAATTCCTTCCAATTCCTTCCGATTTTTTTTCAGATTCCTCCAACATCCAGCTCTTTTTCCAGTTCTAAAGAAGAGGCTCTTAGGCCCCGTTCCGTTCAACTTATTTTTTCTTATTCTTATTAAAATCAGATCAGATCAGACCAGATCAAATCAGATCGAATCAGATCAGATCAGATCCGATCAGATCCAATCAGGTCAGGCCAGATCAGATCCAATCAGATCAGACTAGATAAGATCAGATCCCATCAAGAATTATTATTATTGTTGTTGTTGTTGTTGTTGTTATTATTATTATTATTATTATTCTTAAAAATGAAAAAGAATAAACTTTAGAAGCAAGTTAAATAGAAAACTGAGAAAGCAATCTTTAATTATTAGACGTCGGAAAAATTATTTTTAAAATACATTGACGATGTCAATCTAATTCTAATTTTTAAAATACATTTTTATTGCTACTTGTAATTTGACTTTCTAAAGTTTTGATCTTTTATAAGGATGAGATATTTTAATAAAAATACGATCTCTTCTATATATTGATTATCTAAATTTAATTAGTTTTTAATGTATATATAAATTAAATATTTATTCTAATGTATATATGGAGTAATTATTAAAATATTAAATTAATATTCTAATTTCACAAAAAAAAATCATAAAATAAAAAATATTATTACATTATAATATGAATGATTATTCTAATATATGAATTAACTAATTTTATTTTATTAAAAAATAATAATAAAATACAAGATATTGAGTATATTATAATATGAATTATCATTACAATTTTCAAACGTTATTATAAAGTCAAATCAAATTATTGATTTGAATTTTAAATCAAATCAGATCAGACCAGATTAGATCCAATCAGATCAGATCAGATCCAATCAGATCAGACCAGATCAGAACTTATCAAAATTATATCAGATCAGAAAAAATAAGTTGAACGGAACGGAGCCTTAGTGTATTAATAGAGCATCTTTAGTGGTGAGTTCGTTCACCCAAAAAAATTGATGTGAAGTTAATGTAAAGCGCCAGTTGTTTTATTTTAAAAAGGATTGGGTGAAATAATTGTACTCTAGCCAAACAATCCCTTCTAAACAACCTCACTAAAATGCTTTTGTGTGGGCTAATTGTTATCTAGAGCGCATGTTTTCTTTGGTTTAAAATTAACACATATACTCAACTGGGTTGTTACTAATTTCATATCCAACCACATAATAATATCCAAACAACTTAAATTGACCAAATCCAAAATATCATTTCGAAATCTATCAGAGAAAACCAAACAGTGCAAAAGTTTACGTGATTTATTCAAACACAACTTGAAAGTCATGCATGCAAATCTAATAAGTTATTTAAAAATAAATAATAGTTCGAGATCATCAATCACGTCGTCACACATCTCTTCATTCTCGTTACCCTCTAGGAGTAGTTTTAGACTCCTTTTGTTCTTGACTACTTGCGAGTAACAAGCAAAACACACTACATACTCGACGATCAAATTGAGCGAGAAGTATCTAACATTCGACTAAACAAATAGATGAGTCTACAATTTGTAATAATTACGTGATATCGTGCAAACAACATGCAATACAACAAGTACATTTCAAACATGATTTTCGAGGCGTTACAAGGGTGATGTGGTGGGGTGGCAGGTAGGGGAAGGGGGTAGGGGCAAGGGTAGGGTTTAGGGGAAAGGTTGAAGGGTAAGAACTATCAACTTAACGAACAGAGCACTTTAGGTGCCCCGGGTCATAGTATGACCCAAGGTTCCATGGTCAAAAAAATCATTTTGATTTATATATGATATATGGTTATAGTATATAAACATAAAAATATATGAATATAAATATATGATTATATTGAGAATTGAGAAGAATTAGAGATTTAGAGAGATAGATTGAGAAAATATGATTTGTGAATTTTTTTAAAAAAATCAGGGGTATATATAGGTTTAAATTGACCCCCCACCCCCAACGACTTATATAGCGGTTATGCGGTTCTGCCAGGATGCAACTGACTAGGCTTCCAAGAAAAAAAGAACCGGAACCGGTACTGGCTATTCCGGTACCCAATAATTCGACCCGAAACGGGACGCGTGCCTATTAGGGCTGGGTTGGGAAAAGCGAAAATAAAAAACCGAACCGAAATTGATCGAAACGAGCTAGAAAAAAAATTGAATCGAAAAACCGAAACTGAATGTAAAAAAACCAAACCGAACCGTTAGTGTTTGGTTTCGTTTTGGTTTTCACTTTGAAAAACCGAATCGAACCGAATAAACCGAACATTCTTAGATACTTCGCTTTATTTATATGAATATATGTGATATGTAGAAAAGTCATAGAAATATAAATGCAAATAAATTACTAGTCGATTAAAATTATTTTCTTAACTGTTAATTAAACATTCCAGCCATGTTATTATAAACTTTAAAAAACCTAAGAATATGAACACCAATAGCTAATCCTAATATAGAATTATATTAACATTAAAAATTGATACGAGTAATTTACATATTTACATAAAAAATACTTTGATGTTATAATGAAAATGAAAGTATTATACCAAAAACATAAATTCTTCGTAATTGATTTTACATACGATGTTTTTGGAAGTATTTGGAATCTTCTAAATGTTTGTTAGACACTCAACACATATTTTTTTATGTAAACTTGAACCGAAAGGAACAATAACCTTCCGTTTGGTTTTTGTTTATGTGTAGAAATTAAACAAAAAAACCAAAGCTAACACTACATATTGTTAATGTTTCATCGAGTTAGTGTTTTTACAATTTTTTAATGCTTATAAATTTCTACTTTTATAAACCGAAAAAAAATCGAAATAAAAACCGTATAAAACCAAACTGAATAACCAACGATTTACATATTTTTTATGCAAACCGAACCAAACCAAACCGCCAATTTACCTTTTTTTGTCTTTGGTTTTAGGTTAAAACGGAACCCACCCTAGTGCCTATTAATTCCGGGCCCATTTCCAGTTTGGTACCTGAACCGCCAGTTTTGGCGCAGTACCCGTACCTTGTCTAATGATATAGAGATTACAGACACGTTCAAATTTGTAATAGTGACCACTCGTTCGTTGTATGACTTGATCGGTTACGGGCTACACGGCGCCAGTAGCGTTGAGCCGTTGAAGTTCATGGCGGCGACTGCGGCCGCGGGGTCTATTGCAGCTATCTGTCCGCCTCCCAAGTCCTCTTTACGAAAGCCTCCTTCGTCTTCAAAACCAACGGTAAGTCGGTAACGCGCTGTTTTACATTTATATCGCAGCACGCTTCAATGGTTTCTCTCCTTTATCCATGGCATTCGTATCCCTTTTCCCCAACCTAACGATAAATTAGGCAATTCATTCATGAAATCGATTTGCTCATCTCTCAGCGCGGACAAAGGCAAATCGCCATACCCGGATTTTCTATTGGATTACCAGGCGGAGAGCCCTGTGTTCCGGTGTCAAGTTCAGTGCCTGGTTGGTCTTCTTTCTTCCCTTTCTCTATTATTGTAGGAGTTTCTTTTTGCTATTATGCCTCTATTTGTATTCTCTTTTTGCTAATTTTGATATGTAGTTTTTTGTTTAATTTCCCTCGCTCCGATTCCCATCTCAAGGTAAAAGTGGAAGTATGGATTACTGTCGGAATCCGCCACCCACTGGTCGGAGAGAGCTGATATGGTTGTCTACTGGACTGTTAGCGGCTGTTTGCTCTGCTGGAAGCAATGTAGCTGCATTGGCAACTCAATTCGCTGACAGTAACTTCCATTCAAATGCCTTCATTTTTTTTGTCAAGACCGCTAGTATTATTTGAGCAATAGGAAACCATACTGAATACGATTTATTTATTCTTCTTTAGAGACAATTAATAGGCTTATAGCTGCTCCTCCGTCTCAACATGAAGTTCACAATTTGATTTCATGAAATTTAAGAAAAGGGTTGAAATGCGAAAGGCGTTTGGTGAAAATTGAAAGATGTGTGGTTGAAATTTATTTAGAAGAGAGATATTATAAGATCCACATGTTCATTTCATAAAATGAATATTGGAAATGTGTAAACTTCATTTTGGATTAGCCCTGTCCTCAGAGATTTACTTTGGAGGAGGTAAATTGAGCTATAGTCTTAGTCCGTGGTTGGCGAAGGGCTCTATACTCTTCATGGTCGCCCTTCATCGCCATTGCCAAGAGTCAGACTCGGGTTACCCCTTTATCACCCCTTCTTTTCCATCCAAGCTTCGCTCCCAGCGGCCCAGAAAGTAAGCTTCATTTTCGAACATTCAAATAAGGAAAGTGTAAACTTTATTTTGGGATGGAGGGAGTTTGAATTAATACATTGGCACTGTATTTGTTGTACTTATTTGTTTATTAGATTAGTGTGGTGATTTTAGGGAATGAATTAATAAACAAGGTTAACCGCAAAAATACTGGGTGCTTTTATGCATACATGTTCATTGTCTATCTGCAATTATGCTGTTTTATCAAAGAATGTGGTCTTTTGAAGATAATATATTAGCGTTGAAGCCTCATTTTTGACACTTTGCAAACATACAGTGCCAGCATTGCGGGGAAAGGACTATGGGAAGTCAAAGATGCGTTTCCCTGACTATACTGAAACAAGTTCAGGTCTCCAATACAAGGTCACCTGCTCTGAAGCTTAACAATGGAAATGCCTCATATACTTTTTTAGTGTGACTTGAAATGAACTTTATTCTGGCAATCAAATGTGTGCAGGATTTCAAAGTAGGAAGTGGCCCCAACCCTAAGATGGGAGATACAGTGGTGGTAAGCTGGCAATGGTAAAATACTTATATTTTCTTTTCTATTTGAATGTGGCTTTCCAGTCATCCAGTGTCCAAGTATAATTTATAACAAAGAAAATTGCACACAATAGGGCTCTTTTTATTCTTAGGAAATCAGTTGCTGTTTAAATATGTTTACTCTGTTTTCCTGAAAAAATGTCATATCATATTCTCCATCTGTCTCATAAAGTTTTCTCACTTTGACTTCACGGACATTAAGAGAAGCGTTGAAAAGTGAAAAGTGGGTGGTTAGAATTTGTTTAATAGAGAAAAGTATTTCGGACCACGTATTCTTTTTTAAAGTCCAAAAAATGAAAAAAATTGTTTTGAGAGAGAAAACTTTTGTGGGATGGAAAGAATATGTGTGGAGTGTAATATAATGAGGAAGCACAAAACACATAGAAGCAAAGAACAAATTAATGTAAATGAAGAAAAAGCACCGCAAGCAGAAGCACCAAGCGTATAAAGCACACAAACAAGTGCAAAGACTATCACCTAGCACAAGGCGCCTACCCAATTATGTTAATTATTGCTCTACATACACTCATATCTAAGGCCATATCCTCAGTATGGGCGAGAAATCCCATGTCTTGTCTAATCATCTCCTTCCAATTCTTTCTGGTCTACCCTTACCCCTACTCCCATCCACCAACGTAATCCTCTCGCATCTCCGCACAGGAGCGTCATCCTCTGCTTCCTCACTTGCCGGAACCACCACAACCTAGCTTCCCGTAGTTTATCTTCCATAGGTATCACACTATCACGCCCACCCTTCCACGGATAGTCTTGTTCCGAATCCTATCCATCCTCGTGTTCCATTTTACTTGTTAGTGCTTTCTTCATATTACAATTTAAATGAGCATGTGTGCTCATCTCTAAACCGTTTTTGACTTTAGGTTGACTGGGATGGTTATACTATAGGATATTATGGTCGCATATTTGAAGCTCGTAACAAGACAAAAGGTGGATCCTTTGAGGTATAAACTCACAATTTTAGTGGGGAATTTTTGCATTTGTTTATTTGCGTGCTAATTTGATATATGCATTGCCGTACTTCAAAATGATGCAGGGGGATGATAAAGATTTCTACAAATTTATTTTAGGATCAGGCCAAGTAAGATATCTTCTTTTAAGATTTGATTTGGTTATGTGTTTGATAAGTTCCCTAGCTAGGATAACCATTAATGGCATCTTGAATTCTTGAAGTGATTTACATACCATCATTTGGGTAGTGATTTTTCATTTGTAACATGATTCTTCCATTACATTCTATTCCCCAGCTTACAAGTCATTTATTAATACGATATTATACAATCATTCCATATATAAATTATAGAGACTTACAATGCTCCGATGAATCTATCATATATAACTTTACTTTTTTTTGGAAATAGTCCTGATGGTACAATTTTTTTTAAACCCTTGATGCAACTGACAAATCCAAAACTAGTGATATGATAGATATGATGTTAGATGATCTTGCTAAAGAGATTGGGGAAATAATGTCATCAATGTTGTGGCGGATAATGTAACACATAATAAGGTAGCTTGAGAATTATTAATGAAGAGGAAAATTTTGTATCGAACTTTATGTGTAGCACATTGCATTGGTTTCATGCCGGAGGATTTTGAGAAGAACCGACCTCTACATAAAAAGGCAATTGCTAATGGGAAAAAATTTACACCTTACATCCATTCTCATAAACGTCTCATACCTTTGTTGCATACATTTTCTAAGGTGGTGAACTGATTAGACTCGGTATGACTCGTTTTGCCACGTATTCGACATTGGGATGTTTACATGATAACAGTGGTTCACTAATAAGATTAATCACATTCCTGAGGACATATGGTGGCAAACCTGTGGACATCAGGAGTCGGCGGGAAATAGGAGATTTTCAATAACCTACTACCAGTCAATATAACATATATTTAGAATTGTGCAACATTACAGGGGGCGAGGATGAAAGCTATTGGCATCCTACTGGGACATGTTACTTCTGCATATGAGCTCACTAATAGAGACAACCTCACTATGTAGGATACATTGTGGACAAAACTCTGGAAACTAAAAATTTCAAATAGGTTGGGACTTTTCTCTAGCTTGCTAGCCATGAAAGATTAGCAAGCAATGCTGAACGACACAGGAGACATCTCGCAGTAATAGATAACTGCCCTTTCCATGAATAATTTTGAGACGGTTGAACATATCCTACGTGCATGTCTTAGTACTAATAGGATATGGATGATGGGAAGGGAAGAAGTGCCGAGACTGTCAGATTTCAACTTCAGACAATGGTCAGATATTCAAATCGAAATAAATATATGGACCACCCATGGTTTGGAGTGGCCAACGATCTTTGCTAGTAAGCTTGGAGGCGGCGAAATGATTATGTTTTTAACTATATCGAGCATGACAATGAAACTGAAATGAACTGGATTCTGTGTCAAAAGGATGAAGTGTTGAAATCTTATCAGGCCCAGAATGTCATAGAGAGATGGTCAGATGAAACGTACTTACTGCACGTGCATCGACGAAGACCGGATATTGGCATGTTGTGTTGGACTGGGGACGGTAGCGTAAATGCTATAGGTGCAGGCTGCAGAGGGGTATTGAGAGACCTAGCCGGGAATTGGTTAGGGGAGTTTATGTGCTTGTGCAGTACTATACACCTGAGTGTAGCTGAAGTCTGGGCAGTACTTCAAGGATTAATATTGGCTTGAAATAAAGGTTTACAAAAACTTGTTGTTCAGAGTGATTCCCTAGGAGATTATCAAATTCCATCCGCGAATTGCCTCATCTAAACGCCATGGAGAACACCAAGCTAAGGTGTGTTCTGTAAGGCCCCTTCACGAAGTAACTCTTGGGCCGCAAGCATGCTCCTCCATCAAAAACTAGGAGAGTTACCAATCTTGGCCTTAAAAAAGTCGTAGGAAAATTCCCGGCCTTAATTAATGACTTGGTAGACAAGCGCTTCCGGACGGGTCAAGAATTGCCACCCTTGCTCACCTAATAAAGCTATATTAAAGGCATAAATGTTTTTAATGCGAAGCCCAGCAAACTTCCTCGGGGTAGTCATGCATTCCCACAACATCCAATGGGATGCCTTTAGCATGCGTCCCTTTACCCTTCCACCAAAACGAGATCATCAACCTTTCTATGTAGGAGTAGAGAGAGTGCAGAAGAAGGAAAGTATTCATGGCAAGCTGAGGCAGGGCTTTGGTCATGGTCTGAAGTAGAACCTTCTTACTGGCTTCAGAGAGAAGCTTCTTTTTCCATGACCCCAAAAGTTGCTGAATTTTATCCGAAATGTAAGAAGAGAGTGGTCATTTGTCTCCCCAAGAAAGTAGTCCAAATTCCCAAAATCTTCTGCTTAGGCCACTCCAAAAAAATTATTTAGCTAAGTTCGTGTCCCAACTGGATTAGAGACTGAAACAATTGCTAAGTTTACTGAATTTAATTACAAATCAGGATAAACGTTCATACTCTATTAAACATATCAAAATCTCTCCCGCCTCCTCAGGGTTAGCCTTCATAAACAAATTATCATCCACAAAGAGAAGATGAGAACAAATAGATGGAGCTCCTTGAGCAACACAGATACCATGCAAGACACCATGTTGTTTCGCAACGTGCAATAGTAATGACAAATCCTCTGCATAATGAATAAAGCGGTAAGGGCTAAGAGGTTCACCTTGCTTTACACCACAAGAAGGGAGAAAAAGATCTGCTACCTTGTACCGAATAGTGGAGGCACATAGCATAATCAAATCAATATTCGATACATAGAGGGTCAAATAATAGTCGCTCCATCATACGCCTCAAAAAACTCCATTCCATTTGGTCATAGGCCTTAGCCTTATCTAGTTTAAGCCCCACCCAATCCACTTTTCTGCTTTGCTTACGTTGAACATAATGACCCATCTCAGCAACTAATAAGATGCTATCAGACATAAGATGGCCCGGGTGGAAGGCAGATTGCGTGCCAGACACAATTTCTTGGAGAACATCTTCAAGCTTTTGGCTAAGACTTTAGCCACGATCTTATAAACGATGTTGCAAAGGGCTATATGCTGAAGATCACAGTCTCCGGGAGTTGCTTCTTTGGAATCCAGACAATCCTGCTATCGTTCATATTCTCTAAAAAGCTACATCATTCAAACACTTCAACACCCAATCTGTCACATCAGGGCCAACCACTTGCCATGACTTCTGGAAGAAGTCCTGGTTCATGCCGTCAGGACCCGGAGATTCATTCAGGGGCATTGCAAAAATCACATTCTTCACTTCAGTTAACAAACAGTGCAACTTCTGATAAAATAAATTAGTCTTGTCACCACTTGTTTTCTAGAGCTTTTGAAGTAGTTTTTAAATATATAAGTTTTACTCTCGCTCCTCTCCTCTAAGACTATTTGAAATGTTGCAAACTCTAGGGAAACATAAAAGTTTCAAGGAAAAAAGTTTTTTATTGTTCTATTTTTCCTTGGAAAATAAAATCAAATTTGATTAAAACTGTTCAATTTTAACATACATCGAGATTTGCTTCTTTAAAATTTAGAATTTGTCTATGTGATAAAAACAATTACTGCTGTATAAATAAATAAGTTTGAACAAATATCTAAAATTGATTTATTAAGTTTGAATCAGTTTTTTTCTTCATATTTTATTTATCTAGCTATTCTTAGGTTCCAAATGGACCCATGGAAAAATGTCTGACGGTAGTGTTGCGATTCACATTCAGGTTATTCCTGCATTTGAAGAAGCCATTTCTGGCATGGCTGTGGGTGGCATCAGAAGGTGCTCTATACCTCACTGATAATTTTGTAAACAATGCCTTCTCACATCCTCTCTTTGTTCATGATCATTTTATCTCTGGATATTGATCAAGAAACAGAAATTATTTCTGTTTGGAGCAAATTTTTCTCTGAAGCCAACTTTTGTGTTCAGGATCTTTATAGTAATCCCTTATCACAAAAGACCAAAAGCAAGTAAAAGTTCAGCTAAGGAAAAAGGCCACCTTATTGCAAGCTAACATATTTTGACATCTCAAGATGCAAACTTGATGTGGACAAGTAATTCGACAATATGTTTTTTTGAAATGAGGCCACTAATTTTTTGTCACTAAGTATCTCTAAAGGATGTTCTCTCTCATGATTATATGCAGATTTTTGGTACTGTAGAAATACTGCTTGATTTTCTCATTTTCAATAATACAGGATCATAGTTCCCCCTGAGTTGGGATATCCAGATAATGACTACAACAAGAAAGGTCCAAGTCCAATGACATTTTCGGTAATTCAGCTTCTTATCTGGCTTTACGGGAGTTGACCATCATTCTTTTTTTAAAACTTTTATCCTAGGGCCGGATTGATTCCATCTCAAAAATGTATTCTTCTTCATCTTGCCTGTTTTACAGGGCCAAAGAGCCTTGGATTTTGTGTTGAGAAACCAGGGTCTAATTGACAAGACATTGTTGTTTGATATTGAGCTCTTAAAAATTATACCCAGCTGAAGAGTGAAGACCAACCACTTTCACTATATATGGGACTGTAAGTTGTTCCAGCTCATTGTTACAATTATCTTCTGCTTCTGTAAAGACTAAAGAGCTGCATATTGACATGCCACTGCCTGAAGAAAATCTTAAGCCATTGTACATGTTTAGTTGCTTACCTTTTCTTGGTGGCGTTGTTGAGATAGAAGCTGTTCACAAATATTGATATAGCTTTTACATTTTCTTAATAACGAATTTCATTTATATTTTGGAATTAACCTGCAAAATAAGCCTCACTTAAGAGGCCAATTCCGTTAGACCTCTAAAGTGTCATCTTTCATTATTATCTTAACACTTAATAGAAATTTTTCTTTAGCTTGCGTAGTAGGAAAATCACGTCAAAGATTCGTGGGAAGGTTAATTGAGGATCGATTTCTAGCAGAAGCGGAGGCTTTGACTCTTTGTGTGTTGTTATGTTAAGAAAAGTAAAACCAAATACTACCGTTCATGAGTATTTTTTCAGTTTTGACTTTTTTCGGTCAATTGTTTTCAACCTTTGACCAATAATTAATTAAAATAACATTTTGAAAATATTTGACCTAATAAACTATCTTTGTATCAATATCTTATATCATTTTTATTTAATTTGACGTCAAAATTTACTAATTTTGATCGAAAAAAATTTAAAGTCGACATATTCAAGAACGAAGGGAGTACTATTTTGTACTACCTCCGTCCCATTTTATAACGCCTGTTTCGGTTTACGATGTTTGACTAAAATTATTTTCAAACCACTTTATATGACAAATGGTATAGAATTAAAAAATAAAAATTACATATTAAAAAACTACATCAAAAGATCTACAAAACTAGTAGTGACTAATATTTTATTTTATCAAATTGCTAACGAAAATAGAGAAAGAAAGTGAATGAAGTTTGACCCTGTGAATAGTAAACATGCATTATAATTTGGGACGGAGGGAGTAGTAGAGTACATTCAAGCAAAGAAACAAATGAAGTTTAATGTATCATTTAGATGTTGATTGGGTCACAACAAATGATGGAACATGTGTTTTGATATATTTCAGTATGAGAACAATTATATTTATATTATTGATTCCTGAAGTTTAAATAAAGTTCGGATTTGATATCTCTTGAACTCACCAAATGAGGGTGCTTTGATGCCTCCCGATTTTGGGAGATAGCAATTTGAGATTTTGATATCTCCTCAATCACCTGTCACCTATGACCGTCGATCACCCACAATCGGCCACTCCCCATGTCGCTGACAACAATAATAAATTTTTTATCTTTCAAAACTTTTTATTTAAAATTTTAAAATTCTTCTTTCAAATTTTAAAAGTTAGTGTCAAAATGATATTATATTGCTTAACTAAACGCATATAATGATGACTCTAGCCCAATTCCACATCCAACCTATTTGTAAAAAAGGATGAACCACATCCCCGAGGCCTTTTTCAGACACGATCGGACGGTTACAAAGAAGAGGTAAATTAGACTTTGATCACAGATTGGTGGCAAAGAATGAAGCCTGCAAATGTTACTTGCAGAGGCCTTATGGTTAACATAGTTGTCTCTCAGCTCAATTATCAAGAATCGAACTCGTGCTTTATTCTTTGGCACTTCTTGGCTTGCGAACTGTGCCCACCGGCATATCCAATCATATTTGTTTAATCACTTACTCAGGATTCCAAAACGTATGAAGTTCTTATACTGAGAACGAATTCCTATTTTTTTTTGTCTTTGAGACTATGATTATAACATTATTTACCAACTCCCTCACGAACTATTCCTCGGGTTTTTGGGGACCTCAAGGATAGATTCATCCTCTTTTTTGTTTTGTTTTTAATTGTTTAATCACTATTTTTTTTATAACATACTCCGTATACAAGTATATCAACATCATGCGGTTAGCCGTTGTGCAGTTGACAAAGACAAGAAGTGTCAAAGAGATATGGCCCGAATTTGATTTTTGTCTATTGTGCTGAGAGACAACTCTACTAAGTATAGAGTCTCCCTAAATACCAAATGCAAGCTTCATTCTTTGTGATTAATCTGCGATCAAAACCAAATTTACTTTTTCTTAGTAGCTGTGTAGCCGGGTCTGAGAGGACCCTCAGTCATTCATCCTTTTTTAAGCATATCACCATAATCCTCTACTGACATGGCACACGTGTCTTAAATGATATACCTAGAACACTCATTAAATACAAGTGGATGAAATAGAGAATTAAATAGAAGTTGGAATAGCGACCCTTCCAAAATAAATTAAACTAGAGAAATGTTAAAGTCACAAATTTTTTGATCACAAAATACACAACCTTGCTATTTGTGTACCTCACTAAGTGAATTAAATAATGTTAAATAATTAAAAAGTAAGCATTTAAATACACAAATGGCAAGGTTGTGTATTTTGTGATCAAGGTGTTTGTGACTCTAGCACTTCTCATTAAACTATTTGTATCCAAATACATTCACAAACATTTTGTTTGAATATGATGGTTTACAATGATACAAAATGTCACTACAATTTTTTTTGTATTGACATCTTGTGCTAGTGTAAACCGTCAAAATACTGGTCGATCTCTTTGGAGTCCAACTTGAAATACATTTTTTGATGTACTCCTAACATTGTTATTTAATGTTAATTACGGTGTACAAAAAAATATACTCCGTATAAAAATTACTCCAATCTTGAGGGGAGGCCCTCAAGAATTGATTGCATAATCACTTGTGAGAAAATAAATTACTCCCTCTGTCCGTAAATATTCTTCACATTTGACTTTTCTTGATCAAAGTTTGTAAACTTTGACTATGATATGTAGAAAAAATATATTGTATTACGATATAACTTTAATATGAATATATTCATTTTGAAATATAGTTTTCAAATATCAATTTTTTATAAAATATATCCATGTATAAATAAAGATATTAGTGGTCAAAGTGCAATCTTGGAGACCGTAAAAAGTCAAATCGGAAGAATATTTCCGGACGGAGGGAGTAGTGATTAACACAGCAACCGAGAGAAGCAGCCAGCTAGCTTTCCCATCTGTCTTCATCAGAATTTAAGATTGATTCACCATCTTTTGATCTGCTCCCTCTACGTTCTCACACTAGTATTCCTTTGCTTCCATTCATCTACTCCTTATTTTAGTCATTTACTACCTACACATACATTATCTTAATTTATTTAAATACATCTTCCATGTGGAATTAGTCGTGTCATTGTTTGATTTCAACAGTTTAAGAAGTGTGTTGAAAACTAAAGTGTTGTTAAAATTTGTTTGGGAGAAAAAAAAAGAAAGTGTAGAATATATATTCTTAACTATATTAAGAAATTAAAGAATAAATAATTATTCTGGCAGAGGATAAAAAATGTGAGACAATTAAATTTTAAAAATAAAATTTATTCATTCAAAAACTAGATTAACATTTCTGTAAAACAAGAAGTGTCATAAATTTATTATACAAAGTATTATGATATCAGCAGTGAAAATAATTAAACAAATAAATAAAATTTAACTATGTCAATAGCACAAGAAAAAACATTTTGAGAGAGAAGTAAAAAAGTCAAAGATGAACGGAGAGAGTGAGTGTTCGGTTTGTGAATTGCGAGGGGAGTGTGGTGAAATAAAGAATTTTGTCTCTAGTTTCTCAAACCAGACAACAACCACAACAACAATTGGACCATACCGGACATGACATACACTTAAAAACTGTAAATAAACTATCGCCGCCCTGGTTGGGTGCTGGAGACTGCCATTAATGGCCACCCTCCTCTCACCTTGCCAACCAAACCAAGCGCTTACCTTAATTAATTACGACCCCTGCTCATAGAGATCCAGTGTCCCAAACAAGCGAAGCCAAGAACTGAAGAAGATGGATTTGGCCTCTTCAGGCATGAGGGGAATCGAGATCAAGTCGCCGGAGTGCGGCGGCGGCGGAACCCCTGCAAGCAGGAAGAAGTTGGGTGTCTACTTCGTCGAATCCGATGACCGGAGGGCCGACGCCGCCGCCCCTGTCGGCGGAGCAACGCCCGTCAACATCCACGGGAAACCCATACCGGATTTGTCCAAGACGGGGGGTTGGGTGGCCGCCTTGTTCATCTTCGGGAACGAGATGGCGGAGAGAATGGCTTACTTCGGGCTGTCGGTCAACATGGTGGCCTTCATGTTCTACGTTATGCACAGGCCTTTCTCCGCCTCCGCCAACGCCGTCAACAATTTCCTCGGCATTTCCCAGGCTTCCTCTGTTCTCGGCGGCTTCCTGGCCGACGCTTATCTCGGCCGGTACTGGACCATTGCCATTTTCACCACCATCTACCTTGCGGTAATAATTCACCACATTACGTTAATATCGATTGGATTGAATCTTTTATTATAGGCTAATGTAAGTGTCTCTTTTGGCTTGGTTCATTCGGACGAATGAGTCCGATCGAGCGACTCGTTAATGTCCTAATATGACATTGTGTCCATCTGAGACTCATCAGACGGTACTTCGACTCCGAAGTCGGTGGTAGAGGTAGAAATGTAGCTGATTCGAGGGATACGTTGTACTAAAGTCGTTGCACCCAGAGTACGTTTTCAATAACCTCCCCTGTGGGGCACGAGCCTGTTGCCCCGTGCCCCTCTTTTTTGAATGACAGTTATGGTGGATTATCATAACAAAAGAGAGGCCAGGGTGGACTAGAGGGGCTGGGGTGAGGTGCAAGGTGAAATTGAACTAGGGGGTGGGAATTTATAAGGTGATTAGAGAGTAGGAACCACTTCTGAATCGAAGAGAGTATTGTATGAATCTCATGGACCCAATGTCATATTATGACATTGAGTGCCAATGACAAAAGAACTTTACTCTATTAATTTTGAAACACAAAGATTTGAGTCCTTTACATTTTGTATACATGGAGGGTTTAATAGGAATAACTCTCTCAGCAACAATGGGAGTATTTGTTCCAAACCAAAACCAATGTGATCAGCTTGCACTGCTGTTGGGCAACTGCGAGGCAGCAAAGCCATGGCAGATGACATACCTCTACACAGTCCTTTACGTGGCCGGGTTCGGCGCGGCGGGCATAAGGCCGTGCGTGTCGTCCTTCGGCGCGGACCAGTTTGACGAGAGGAGCCGAGACTACCGGGCGCACCTCGACAGATTCTTCAACCTCTTCTACCTCTCGGTCACGGTCGGGGCCATCATCGCCTTCACGGCCGTCGTCTACATCCAAATCAGGTTTGGGTGGGGGTACGCTTTCGCGGCGTTGGCCGTCGCGATGGGCCTCTCGAATGTCGTGTTCTTTGCAGGCACGCCTCTGTACCGGCACCGTTTGCCGGGAGGCAGCCCCCTCACCCGAGTTGCTCAGGTGCTGGTGGCTGCTTTCCGGAAGAGGAAGGTTGCTTGGGACGAGAGTGAGTTTGTTGGGCTCTACGAGCTTCAGGGCAAACGGTCAGCTATCCAGGGCAGCGCCAAGATTCCCCACACCAATGATTTTCGGTAAGCAATCCCCCTCTTCTCCCACCCAGCTATAGTCCCACCAAGTTTGACACCAATAGTTTGAGACCAAGTGTTTCACAGACAGTAACTGTTCCTGCATAAAAAACGACTGTCTCTAATGTTTGTGAAACACTTGGAATTAAACGCTTGGTGTCAAATTTGGTAAGTTTTCATCCCATATGACCTAACCTTAAAAAAACAAAGCAGATGTCTGGACAAAGCAGCATTGCAGCTAAAGGAAGATGGAATAAGTCCAAGTCCATGGAGGCTGTGCACAGTGACTCAAGTGGAAGAAGTGAAAATCCTAATAAAACTTGTCCCAATCCCAGCCTCCACCATAATGCTCAACATAATCCTGACTGAGTTCTTGACCCTCTCAGTCCAGCAAGCCTACACCCTCAACACACACATGGGCCGCCTCAAGCTCCCCGTCACCTGCATGCCCGTCTTCCCTGGCCTCAGCATCTTCTTCTTCCTCTCCCTCTACTACTCCGTCTTCGTCCCCTTGTCGCGCCGCGTCACCGGCCACCCCCACGGCGCTTCCCAGCTCCAGAGGATCGGCATCGGCCTGGCCGTTTCAATCCTCTCGGTGGCGTGGGCCGGGGTGTTCGAGCGGTACAGGAGAGAGTACGCGGTCAGGAACGGGTTCGGGGGAAGCTTCCTGACCCCGATGCCCGACCTCACCGCGTACTGGCTCCTCATCCAGTACTGCCTCATCGGCATCGCGGAGGTGTTCTGCATCGTGGGCTTGCTCGAGTTCCTCTACGAGGAAGCGCCCGACGCCATGAGAAGCGTCGGCTCGGCCTACGCGGCCGTGGCCGGGGGTCTTGGGTGCTTCGCGGCTTCCCTTACGAACGACATCGTGAAAGCCGCGACCCGGAAGGGGGAGGACGGGGATCTGGATTCTTGGCTGTCCCAGAACATAAACGCCGGGCGGTTCGACTACTTTTACTGGCTTTTGACGGCGATGAGTGTGATCAACTTCTGCGCCTTTTTGTACGCGGCGAGTCGGTATCAGTACAGGGCAAAGCCGGGAACCGAGATGGGTACGCCGCGGGCGAAGACTGAGCTTGCAACCGTAGGGGAGTGAAGTGTTGTATGTGTTGAACGATTTTACAACAAGTTTGCTGCTCATATATACTATACATATATCTTTGAAGTGTATTATGTATACCAAAATGTGTTCTATGGAATTCAAAGAAAGGGGCTTCATTGGTTGTTCTTTGTTAATGTAAGTTGGCTACAGTTTGAACCCATAGCAACAAGACATGCTAGCTCATCCGGCAATCAATTCACATGGGGAAATTAAACCATATCTGTCAATTCCGAAGGCAGATATCAATTTAAATTCAGCCCTAAAATTGAGTTTTCTAACATTTAAGGGCGAAAATCAAGAAGGAGAATGGATAAAAAAAAGTGTAGGAAATGCAGAAAAGGCCTACCATGCCATTAGAATTGAATATTTTTTGGACAATTTTGTGGAAATGACTCAGAGCTCAAGTCAAGGCCTTTGCTCCTACTTCCATAGCTAAGGCCATTGATTTTGAAATATTGCAGAAAAAGGGGAACTCCAACTATGAGGATAACTCGATTAGAACGAAAAAAGGGCATTCCAACTCCTAAAAGATTGCCAAAACAAAAACTCAACCAAAAACTTAAGATTATGGTTGTAGCATGGGAAACGTTTTTATATTCTAACACGCCTCTTCACGTGCATACATGAGCATTTCATGTCTTGCATGTGAACCTTAACCTTTTTTTAAACTAGGTGGCGGTAAGTTTTGAACTCGTGACAAAGAGGTCACGGATTCAAACCTCACTGCCACACTTTTTTAAAAAATCTGGACCATCCAGTTTTTAAAAAAATTAAGGTTCACGTGCAATGCTCGAAACTGTCACGCCTGCACGTGAGGGGTCGTATTAGGGTATAAAAACACATCCTGGCCCTACAATTAGAAGTTTGAGTGTTTGATTTAGTCGGATCATTATTATGTGGCTCATTATCATGCTATCAAAGCCTTTTTTACCAAGAGATTGCGAGTTCAAACCTTCCTGACCCTCGGTTTTAAAAAATCAAATTTCACGTGTAAGGCTATCAAACACTCTGAAGCAGGTATAACTTTATAGGTAACAAATTAGGTCAAAAGTTGGGTTGTTTGAAGCCTATCAACACACTCTGAAGGTAGTAGTAGTTGGTGGATACAACCTCCCTTGGACTCAAGTTTGTAAGAACTTCAAGCGGAGATTACATAGTGCAAATTTCCAACTTGGGGTTGTGATGTTGTGCAGAGCATCAAGTGGCTAAGCACTTTGGACACATTTAGATGGAACTTTAGACAATTATTGTACATGGAATTGGAGTGCCTATCATGTCCTCAAAACGGCAAAACAGAAAGGGAGTATAGTAAAGGGTTTTCGACTAGCAATTGACATGAGCAATATGGCATACTTGTGTATGGAAAAAAATCAATTGTACAACTAGAGTACAGAGGCGACTGATAAACAATCATTCAAACCCTTCGATAATATTCTCATTTACAGAAAAAACTTACAATATCATCTAGTCCATCTTGGAGAAGTGTTTTAGATATTGCAACAACACTCCCTATTTATATACTCCCTCCGTCCCATAAAACATTTTCTGTTTCAAAAATGACACGCCTTTAAAATGAGTAATTTTAGTGTTATTTTTTAATTATGACTAATCTATTCTACACATCTCATCCTACTCTTTTATAAAGTAAGGGCAAAATTAGAAAATAACATCAAAATTACTCATTTTAAGGGTGCGCCTTTTTTGAAACAGGAAATGTTTTATGGGACGGAGGGAATATATATATACTAAAGTATTGTAACACTTAAATCTACATAACCCGAATCCATGAGTTAGCCAAGCGGGTTGCCACACAAATTCTAATCCATATGCACACATTTTCGAAATCATTTAAAAATAAATCATTCATTGTCATTTAAAACATAGTCTGATCTCATCGGAGTAATTAAACAAAATATAGCAGAAGCCTTGAACAACAAAACAAAACATCCTTAAAATTTAAATAAATAACTTCGGTGGAAAATAAAAGTTTAAATTAAACAACGGCTTCGCCATCCACTATGCAGTCCTTCACTAATCACCGGGCAGCTCCTCCAGTCCTAATTCCTACTTGCGTGCAACCAAAGATAATAAAGACTACACGCTTAGCTCAAAGTTGAGTAAAAATATATCTAATGTTTGAATTAATTTATAGAATAATATAACATACATACACAGGCATACAACATCATGCAACTATAGTAGTTAAAAATCCGCATGCAACATCATTCATAGTCAAGAAGTCATTCTATCACCAACATCTACCAATAATTTTAACCTATGACGGCTTAGACTGAAGGGTGGATTGAAGCCCCTGGCAAGATGGATATCGAGGCAGGTTGTGAAGTCCCGTACGTATATTTTGAACCCTAAGCCTGAGTATGCACTCACACCCCACATGGCCAAATTTAGCATTATTAGTGATTTTTGTCATTCAATTCAGTTGAGGTCCTCCTAGGTTTACTAGATGACCTATTGCTCAATCACAATTCATCACCAATTAGCTCCTCAAGTTCACAACATAATTTCATGTGACGGAATCATATCAAATAACGACCTATTAGCCGACCAAAGATCCACTGATTATCGTCATGCATCAAATACAAATATTCAAGAGGTATAAAAATAGCACAGATTACTTGGTGCGTTGTGGTGATAACGATACCATGCTACCGCCAGACGGTAGCGCGGTACCGTCGGATTGTAGATTGCTACCGCGACTGAAAAACATTTGTCCAAAAGTTATGACTTGTGACGGTACCTACCATTACTGGTCGCCAGCACATGGTTACCGTCGCACGGTATCGAGCTACCGGCAGATGATAAGGACATACCGCCGTGTAGAACGGTCAACCGTTCCTCAACCAGTTAGCATTCTAGTACGTTACCAGGAACAGTTGACCGTCCTAAGCCCAGTTGCACGGAGGTAGTAACGATCGACTGTCACGAGCCATTTCAGTACCAGAAAGTTCAATTTGGAAGCTGTAAAATCCTATTTTAGTACCATTCAACTATGAATCAGTATCAATATCATTTCCAAACTAAATATGATATTTTGATAAATACAAGAACCTTATTTGGTGCATGACGGTAAGCTAGGGTGTTAATACTCGACGTTAGGCCCTTGTTTGTTATGATGATGATGATTATTGACTATGATTCAAATTTTTTTAAAGGATAAATATTATGCTTAAATAAAGATTATGAAAAATTAAGTTAAATAAAGATTCTGATTAAATGATAAATATTCTAATTAAATAGACCCCATGTGACCAATTTAGTTAGGCCTTGCGATGTGTACATCTAGTGGCCCAGGTTAAAACGTGCATACATGATCCTCAAACCATTTGTGAATATTCCATCTAGGGGTACCATCCAATCCGTGAGTGAGTAGATGTTGTTCGGTTTCTGAGCGAGACCTTTAAGACTCATAGGATAGGTCATGGTTTTGTGTTCTGCCTTGGACTAAGAATAATTTAAAAGCTTTGTGATCAATATAAATTGGCCTTAAATCGACTAAGAATAGTTTAAGAGCACTATCATGATTTGACCTTATACAAAGAATAGATTAAGAGACTCTTGATATATAAAATGAATACTGTAAGATTAAACTAAATATTATGTGCATGATATCAAATGATTTGATTATGAATTGTAATTTAATTTATATGGATGTTCGATGTATTAATATCCTTACTCAGCTTCATCGCTAAGCGTATGTGTAGTATGTTTTATTTGCTACACGCAAGTAAGCAAAATAAAGAATGATGTGACATTAGTAGATGGGGACGAGATGTCGTCGGACGGATGTGTGATGATTTCAAACTGTTGAATAAATATTTCAAAAATAGATTATTTATATTTTATGATTGTGATGTGAAACAATTATTTTAAGCTTCTGTAAATATGATAAACTCTGTTATTGTTTGGAATATTTTATTATGATGAAATAAAGTTTGAAATGTTTTAAATTTATGACGTTATCAAGTTAATATTTTAGTCTGAAAGAAGATATAGACCTGTACAGATCAGGGCGTTACAACTTCGATACCATGTAAATTTTTAGCGGAAATTGTTCTCCTTTTCAATAAATACAAACAAATATATATACAAGTACATAAACGAGGTTAGAACATGGGCCCAATACGCTATTCTAATTTCCAAGACATATTTACAAATACCCTCTAACACACCCGCTTAACTCACACATAGGGGGGTGTTCATCCGTGATTACGGGCGAGGTGTCAGATTACGAGTAGCATACCATATATGAGCACTACGCACGCACTTAGATGGAATGTGAGGGAGTAATTAATGTTTTTCTCTGTGCATAATCTTTGCTGCATGTTATTGAGAATCAGCAAAGTTAAAAAAGGGGGGACAGTTTTAGTGACTCGATCGATCATGCATGCATCCTAAGTAGAGTACGAAGAGCAAATAGGAAGTTAATTACCAGTTGATTATGTTTAATTAATCTTAAACAATGTTAGGTACATTTAAAAAAAGTGTGTTAAAAAATTGCAAATGATATGATCTGGTCAACTAGGACCGACCGTGGGCCCGCATAAAAATATTACGAAGTACTCCGTATTAGACTTATATTTGTTGCTCACCAAACAGTGATTATTATTGTCATTTGATTTCATTTACGTAATGTTTGGCACCTAGCATTTCATTTCAATTCATGCATTTCAATTCTAAAATTTGAAATCTTGAATTTCAAATGACAAGAGGAGGTGCATGGATTTCAAAATAAGATTTGTTATGAATGAGAAGAATTTGAATCAAATCCAAATTCAAAATTTTTAAGTTTCTCAAACATCAAATTTGAGTCAAATCCGGATTTGAAATCCAAATCCATGTTTCCAATAACATACCATTATTTTTTTTCAAATACTTTTCTTTCAAATTTCCAAACTCATATCTAGTCTTTCAGATTTCAGAACTCATATCGTATCATATTTTCTAAATTCACCAAACGAGCCCTAAAAGATTGATTTCAATCCGATACTATGATAGAGTTTTTGGATGAGATAGGGATCATTGTACTGGGTAATAAGACACTAGGGCTGAACCATATTAAAAAATTGAATCCAATCATTTACTTAGTTCACCTCAAACGCT